GCGTTCTATGAAATATTATCCAACCGGCTGATCATAATGTTCAAACAGAACTTTCGCATGACGCCTCTAAATCTGGCTGCCACATAACAGAGTACCAAATCTTTCTCCACATAAATTCTGGTTTAGATTCAAACCCACAAAAGTAAATACAACAACAAAAACAGCAAGCAGAATGGAGGCAAACCCAAACACATATATAATATATAAATACATGCAGACGTAAGTATTATAAACACACACACACAAACATGTGCATAAAGTCGCGTATATGTGAATTCAATAGATGTAAAAAAGTACATGTGTTTGCATAGAACAGCGCGAGTAAGAGTGCCTCTACTGTATAGCTCAGCCCATTCACCTCCAAGATTAGAATATGTGAAATGAAGATCAGTCAAGCTTACAATAAGGAATTTCGTATAGAAAATCTCCACAGTTTGAAAACCCCGAAGAACTCCAAACAGACAAAAGAACAACTTTAGCTGATCTTCATTCTATAAAGCCAAGGTCTTTATAGCAACAACCTTTTTCCCATTTTCCCTGATAATTATCATGCACCAATCGGCAAATAACGATCATGTATTTCTTTCTCTATAATAAACTACATTATCAGAACTAAACATCTACAGATAGCTAGCATAAATATGCAGCTGCGCATTAACATCTGCACCAGTCAACCTACAAAATGTTGGTTGTCAACGGCAGAGCTGGCAACGTTCATGTTCACATGCTACTATGAAATGCAAGTTAATAACGACACGATAACCTAAGTATTGAATGAACGACCAAATGATTTTAATAATGTACCTGGGCAAGAGCCATCAGCAATGGCAAACGTGAGTGTTCTAATGTGGTCTGCCACAACCCTATATGCCATGTCAAGATTGTCCAGGTCCTCAGATCCAACTTTGCCAGAGTATGGTTGAGCTCCAGTTGCCTACCAAAAGATTAAACTACTCAGAATATAATCCATAGAGTAACATAAGTTAACTTTAAAGCAGTTAGAAACTGGCTCTAAATTTGTGGTGTCATTATCCCAATTCCATATTTATTTAGCCCCTGTTTGGTACACATTATTTCAAAATACATTCTTTCAAAACTCATTTTTAACCACACATTCTTCAATAAAATAATATTTTTCATCACATCAATAACTTTTCCTTACTTTTTATCCACATATTTCCCAACATATCACTATTTAAAATACATTATTTCCTCAATAATATTCATCCAACACACCCTTACTCTAAATTCATTCAAATTTTAATCCTTCATGTGAAAGACATGGAAAGTGTCAATTTTTATTTAAATAAGGTTGTGGTTTAACCTGTTGTATTGCATCAAAGATGCTTAAGAACACATCGGTATCATAATTGCTCATCTTATTCTGAAGAATGGATGTTAATCTTTCAAAACCCATTCCAGTGTCAACATGTTTAGCCGGTAGAGATTTCAAAGAGCCATCAGCTTCCTTGTTAAACTGTGGAAGAGACATCACGAAAGTAATCCAACTTATAAAATTGACAAAAAATGTCAGAAAGTGAAAACAGTTAGTTGTTAACCATAAACATGTAGAGCTCCAATAGGACAAGAGTGATGACCGAACCTGAATAAACACAAGATTCCATATCTCAATGCATGTAGGATCATCATTGTTTACCAGCGATGCAGCATCACGATTACCAATTCTATCAAAATGAATTTCTGTGCAGGGTCCACAAGGCCCAGTATCTCCCATCTCCCAAAAGTTGTCCTATTCGAAGTCGCATAAGAATTAAAAAAACACTTCAAAAATTTCTTGATAATAATATGCATTTTCAGTAATAACTATATTCTCATTAAAAGGAAAGAACTGTTAAACATAAGGGCCCAGAAACTGGACACAATCACCAAATTGAGTTAAAACATTGTCAGGTGATGATTTATTTTCATCCCCTATATGATAATAACAGGAAATTAACGTACTTTACAACCAAAAGGCAAAACACGGGCAGGTGGGAGAAATTTGAGCCAATTATCCCTTGCTTCAGTATCGGCAGGAAGGCCAAGTTTCTCATCACCCCCAAAATAAGTGGCATAAATTCTATCCTGAGGTAATTTGTACACCTGTATGAAATAACACATTCGAAAATTATAAAAATGAAATGAAGTGAATCAGTTGTATATGCATGTGCGTGTACATGTGTACAGTAGACGTGCAGGGGACTTGCCTTGGTTAGAAGGTCCCAAGCCCATTGAATGGCCTCGTTCTTAAAATAGTCCCCGAAGGACCAATTACCAAGCATTTCAAAGAAGGTGTGATGGTAAGTGTCCTTGCCCACATCGTCGAGATCGTTGTGCTTGCCACCTGCTCGGATGCACTTCTGAGTATTGCAAGCGCGGGTGAGTTTGCTTAACTCGGTGTTGGGATCAACAGTACCCAAGAATATCGGCTTGAACTGATTCATACCTGCCATATACACACACGCAGCAATATCAGTAAAGAATTTCCAGAGATAAAAAACAAATTCGGCAATTAGTAAAAGGGAAAAACTTTACCGGCATTAGCAAAGAGAAGGGTAGGATCGTTGTGAGGAACAACGGGGCTTGATTTCCAATGGACATGGCCTTTATCCTCAAAGAATTTAATGAAAGTATCCCTGACTCTGCTGGCCGGCCACTCTAATTCATTCGACTGAGATCCCATCGCTGATTCCGCTAACGCTTCTTCTCTTCTACTGCTGCTGCTATAGCTAATACTGCGTCTCAAGAAGAAACGAATCCTAGTATTCCAAAACGATGAAGAGGGTGAAGCAGCTGCTGGAAACGGCAAATGAATAGGCTGAGGCGGCGAAACTGTAGGAAGTAGGGTGCGTAATGGAAACGCCAAAGGATGGGAGAAAATGCTCCTCCTACGATAAACCCTCATCCATTGACCGAATCTTTCAAATACTAATAAGTTTGGGTGGATTCGATTCTACTTCCCAAAAACACAAATGCCAGGAATATATGAGAAAAATATTAGAGGTCAGGTCACTTTCAAATTTGATAAATTATAAATTCAATACTCACTTTGTTTTTTGAAAATATGTTTGATTGAATAAGTGAATAAAAGTTATTCCCTTTCATCAAGTTCCATTCTTGTAAAAGCTATCTCTATGTTTTTAAGTAAAAATGTAATAGAGTTGTCTACTAATAGAAATAATTAGCCGCCGTTTGTTTTTCATTTTTCATCAATAAAAATGAAAAGTATGATCATTATTCATCACATCAAGTCATCAAATTTGAATTTCTATCTCTTGTGTGGGACTAATAACAGCTATATTTTTTATTCTCATTCTACAAAAATGAGAATCAAACGGGCAGCAAAGTTTGACGTGAACAACTTTACCTCTAATAATATACATGCTCTCTAATTATAATAAAAGTTGAGAGTATATTGTTATATCATCAACACGATAAGACATGATTATTGAACTTGAACGCTATCATGTCGAAAACACTCGACATAGATCAATGTCTAGCTCTAATAAGAGTGAAACATTACAAGACAATGGTTGTGGTCTCATTTGGGAATCTTGAAATGTAATTAAAAAAGAAAAATGTAAAGAGATGTTGTTGTAGTATTTAAAAAAAGGATAAAAGTGAGAACGCATAAAAAACTAAAAAATAAACACTCGATAAGAAATGAAGAAATAACCCTTTCCTTCAAATAATGAATGATCAGATGTTATAACCTCTTCTCTCAATACATTAGAACTGAACAACCGTAATACGTCAAAATAACTTCTGATCCCTAATGAAAAAGGATGAACCAATGTAATCATTGCATTGAGGGCTATCTTCAAGTTGTGTGCAAAGCCGTCTGATCCTATAAACCAATACTCGAAAGCCTCAACAAGACAACCTGAGCTCGAATGCCAACCCCTAGGCTACTACGAAGCCAAGAATTTATCATCGTCAACTAATTGGGTTCTAGGCAAGGCCCTTGAGTGGTTAAGAAATGTATCTCATCATTCACGTTCATATATATTAATTAGCATCCAATTTCACTTAATTGAAAATTAAATTATATTCATATAGCATAAATAATTTAACATTTATCATCACATATATATTTCTTGATATCAATTCTAAATTAATTAACATTCAAGTTATTTCATATATCGTATTTGCCATTCATTTTCATTTTCATTTATATATCTAGTTATAATTCTAATATTCACATCCAAATATGAATTTCGCTATTTACATGATGTATAATAATTAACATTTATTTTTAAGGGTTTGCATTTCTCTCGTGTTTAGATCAAAAGGGTCAACACTTATAAAGTGTTTCACAATAACGTGCAACGCAAGTTCAACTTTGACTAGTATTTTCGAAAATTGTATATTTATTTAAATCACACCCCAACTGAATCAGGAATTCCCGACTCCACCTTCAATAGTCGATGACACTATCTACAACACTGCATAAAAATTGAAAATGTCAAAATAAACATAACTATATTAACAAAAAAAAAAAATTAAATTAGGGACATACGCCATCCCCATTTAGAGTGATCTGCCATCACGAAGAAACAAACACAATTTATTTGCCACCTTCTCAATTTGATACTATCTCTTTTTCAGATAAAGCATGTTTATTTTTCTCTAGACACAGAAAAGATAAATATTTTGTTGCGAGAACGACGCAAAGGGAGCCCAACCTTGTAAGTTGTTAGATATATATTACAGACGGCCAAACATATGTTATTAGGTGCAATTGGCCTAAAACGAAATATCATGCATGGTTCAACACAATGTAACATGTTCAAGGTTCCAACATTAGTAAACGAAGGTTCCAACATTAGTAAACGGAGCATTGCTCAGCAAGGCTAACATGTCTGAAGTTTTACCAACATTAATACATGGCGAAACGTTAGTAGCAACAGAAAAACGCCTGAATAATAAGTCTGTTTTTCGAGCACCATCGTTGACTTCAAAAAAGTTCCATAGTCAGGAGTTGGCAGTTTGTTTTATAGTCAAGAGTTATCTGACTCCATCTGATGCAAGTGGAAACCACCTTCATTGTTCTTGTGCACCTCAACCTTGAATGTCTCTTCTTTCCCTCCTCTGTTGACCTTTAGAAGCATATCGAACTTCGCAGACTCCTCAACAACCTATCAAGAAGCTAAAAAATATTAGACATTGTACTCGGTTTCACCTAATACCAACTTACACACTTTGGAATTAAATGACACTGATTCTTGGATCAAAACATGGTGCAAGGACGAGAAGTTTGAAAGCTATGAGACAGTCTAAAGATTTTAGAAACAAAGTATACATTTTCTTTGCAAAGACGAATTGCATGTCTTGCCCTGTAATTTAGCCAAAAATGTGAACTCAAAAAACTTCAAGGTTTGGGGTTTATGGGAAGACTATAAATGATGAGCCCACAATTTGATTGGTGTACCATACAACATCCTATAAAACAAGTTGAACCAAAAACTTGAAAAATCAGATATCGAACTTTGGTGGGAGAATAACACACGATTGAAACATGTAGGAAAACATAATTACAATAGGAAACTAAGGAAACATCCACGAAAGAGAAAATTGAACCAATACCAGGATAGTATTGGTCCATGACTGACACAAAAGTTCTACATCAAAGCCCCGTTTTTATACTTGGTAAAGATACCATTACTTAACAGGAAGAGACAATAGAACAATCACGAATAAGAAATTGATAAATCTCTAACACCATTTGATGAACATCCACAACCATCTGATCATCTCTTTCTTTGTATGCTACACACATATCATACCCCCAACCCCGGGACACGTTTGACCACTGGTAGACATTGAAGATATTATTGTTTCTTAAATCCATAGTATCATTCTATAAGAACTTTAAAAAATAATAATAATCATAATTGAACAACAACCTAAGAAACACAAGGGTATGAGAACTTCCCTTGCAACAATAATTTGTCAAATTGAGAATTATACATGTTGTGGTTATATATGTTGATACCACATGATGACTACCAAAAAGAAAAAGAAAAGTCTTTAAAGCTCCCAAAAGAAAATTCAGTTTATGCTTCATGAAGAGAACTTTCCATATCAAAAGAAAAGTACTTAATGTCCTGAAAGTGGATTCATGGACCTTGTAAAATGATATCCATGTCATCTCAACAGCCATGTTACCAATATCTTAAGTGTGAAAATCACGTACCTCAGCCTTTGCATGAACTATCTCCCTAAGTTCATAAGGAAATAAAGAGTTCGATCTCTCCTGGATGGTCTTAACAGCATGATGTGCAGCATCTTGAACAACAGGATCGTGCACCGGCACTGATCGCCATCCTGAGCCTTGCTCCTCTGTTTTTTACACCAATCAATCACAAATGAAAGATAATATAAGCATAATGGGCCCAGTTGGAAAGTTATGCCAAAAAAATAAAATGATAAACGTCAGCTAAAATCAAAATACTCAGCATATTACAGGGAACAAAGGATGCCACACCAAGAAGTAAATCATTTTTTTACTCTAGCAAACATGAACTTGGAACATTTATCCAGACCTTCATCCTCAACAGTGAGCGTAACTAACTATAACTTCTCTGTCTCAATATGGGCAGACAGACGGCCAGACTCAGGTCAAGACTTGAGGCAATGCAAGCTAAACATCATCTATACTGAATATGGCCTCAAAGTACGATTCAAACGCCTAATACTTGCATGCTTTGAAAAGCTCAATCATTTGAACAGAGTATACTTAGGGCCTGTGTGGGAGGGATTAAAATCAGATTAAAATTGAAAATATAGCCGTTATTGTTGACTTTTATTAGACGAGTGGGGTCCAATAACGGCCATATTTTCAATTTTAATTGGCTTTTAATCCCTCCCGAACGGGGCCT